ATATTTCTATTCAATGCTTTTCTAACGTGCCACAATAATATACTGTTTTTGAGTTCAAATATCTTCATTTGAGAGTTTTCCAAGCAAATATGCATATATGTGATTGTTTGCAATTAAAGCAGCATTATTTCAGCCATCCCTTAAAGTCTCCATGCCAACCTTTGGCCACACTGTGAATATTCTTGTACATCTGACCCTGAGCAAAAACAGACAATAACACAGTCCTGAAAGAGAAAAACCTTAATGTAGTAGTAATGTAATGTAGTACAGCCACTGTGTCTATGTTAGAGACAGCTGCTATGACAAATATGTGTGTACCGTGACAAGATAATAACAGGATTATCTGTCTGTTGCAGGCCTTTTATCACAGATTATAGTAAAACAAAACAGTCAGAGTTGTCACGTTTTGGAACAAATCTCAGAATTTTATTCCACATACTGCACTTCAGGTGTCTGCATTTGAATCACATCTATCACAAACAAAAATGCCCCATGGTACAAATAAATACACTTTCAGTGAACAGAGAAATGTGGAATGTTTTTATACTTGGACTTTTGTGTTTATTTGTAGAATCCATATTTGTATACAGTATATTTACTTTTTCTTCAAAGTAACTTACAAACAATACCAGCAAATGAAGATTTTTTTCCCCAAATAAAGTGCATTTATACTACTCTCTCTCAATCACAAAAAAAGAAGAAATTCTCAAACATGTAACACTAGTATAGACACCACTGATTGGGAAAAGGCCTGAAAGTGGGCATAATAGCTATATACGTTTACATTACAGTTAGTTTTCTTAATCAGGTGATCAGAGCTGACCTGACGACTCATTTATTACATCAAGATATAAAAGAACTCCTCCCTATCAGTAGAATATATAAGACAGTATATTTAAAAATGTTAATCCCTATTCCAGAAGATATAATTAACAGTCACGTGAAGAACAGCAACAGAAAAGGAACAAATTCATGTTTCAAGTGTTCATTTGATAATTACTGCAAACATTTTGTCATTAGAAATGTAAATGCATATTCAGTAACCTTATGGCTAATAACATCCATTCTGCAGTATTCTGGTGGTCTTGGCTTAATTAATAACAAAAGCTCTCACTCCAACTGATTAATGAACATTTTATGGAAACATGTTTAACAGTGGCTGCTTTGAACCTCTGGAGGGCAGTAGAGTACAACGCCAAATAAAAACCTCACCGGTTGATGCATGTGCTGCACCTTCAAACACTGTTGGATTCAAGGGTGGATTACTAACTGAATCCTTTAAATACATAAAAATCAATTTATATTGAACTAAAAATTCATTAAGAAATATTTTTAAGCTATACTAATGACTTATGGTAATGTAATTGTATACTGCCAATACCATAACACATCAACTTTTGTAGCTCAACTTATCTTAAAGCCATTTCCAGCTCATTGTTTTCTTTATACAGATAAAACCAAAACAATGCTGCCAGCATTAGACTGAGAGACTCTCGGAAAACAGAACTAACAGAACAAACTTGAACATTTAGCAAGTCAAAACTGTTGCCCAGACTGAGCCACCGTAGTTTGAGACTAGAAAATAAATGTCAGTCTTTGAACTTCTCCCTCATTGTGAAGTTGCTGTTGTTGGTTGAATCAGTTTACATTTGATGGGGAAAAGTAATTCTAATCAAATCACTATCAGAAAGTGATATTTAACAACGCACTAATTCAAAACTGGATTAAATCGTCAAAACCTTACTCTCCGCCCCAAATCAGAACATCAGCTAGTAGCAGTAAAGTGACAGCCGTCCTCACATACAGCCGTAAATGGTTTGCATAAGATTATGTACACTGGATAGTTACTGAGAATTAACTACTAAAGAGATGAATAAGACAACAAGTGGGAGAAGAGAAAGTCGTTTTTTCCTGTGAACATTTTATCCTTCTCAGCACTCTGGCTCTGAGATTATTGATTCAAACACCTTTATCAGTATGTTACATAGAAAAAATGAGAGCATTACATTAATCAATCTCGACTACCTAGCTTGTAGTACCTAATGTATCAACACAGCCATTCTGATTACACTGTAGATAACCTTATTTCTTTAAGTAAAAGGTTCATTGTGATATACTGTACCATGCCCATATCCACAAACCCTAGTTTAGCTATAGAGCCCTTTAACAAAATACAGTATGCTACATCCATGACTGCCTGTTTTGGCTCAAAACAACACATGGGTTCACTGTATATGTGCTTATAATTATCTTTTACATCCACATACTAAGTAATCATCACTATTCTGTGTGATTAATCTGTTATCTAAAGTTAGCCACAGTTTGGAATGTACGGATCCCAGCTGCTGTCTGTTTATTTCCAGTTTGGTTTCTGTCATGACCCTTGCTGAGTCAACCGTGCTGAGTGTAATTACCCCTTGAAAACACACACACACACGCTTACACACTTCTTAACTCACTCACTTGCAAACACACTTAAATTCAGGGGCCACGGGGGTATGGATTTAAATGCATGAAAATCAGCTGCTGACACTGCTGCCTCCTGTGGATATGTGAGCGTGTGTACATGTGTTTGTGCATGAGTCTGTGTGTGTCTGTGTGTGTGTGTGTAGGCTGCAGTCGGAGGCAGAGGGAGAAAGGGCTGTGGTAGCCCTCCTGCTAAGGGGAGATAAGCGCTGAGCCTGAGCTCTGTCAACCTCGCTTTCCTTTGCAGCAGGACACGGCCTTCAAGAACCACCAGAAATAGACCCAAGGTGGCTTCTCACACAGACACACACACACACACACACAGACACACAATCCCCTGTGACAGACAGAGCCGAACCGTGCTTGATGTGACATCCACTGACAGAGTGCCTGCTTTGGCTTTGTCTGACGGTGCACATCAGCTCAGTAAACTGCTGGATGAAGAAGAAATGAGCTTAATCATCTTGTTGCTCACTTTACCCACCGTAGCCAAACTGAGGCTGTGTGTCATTCGTGTTGTTTGATGCAAATATTACAATTTGACCGACTGTGCCTTAGTTCCTCCTCGTTTCATTGTCTTGTTTGATATAAGCAGTAAAAGAATAAAGGAGTGACCGGATTTGGTATTCACAGTATTCAGCATGTTTTGATCGGTAAAGCACTTTTTGACTTTCTTGTATCTATAATACATGTAAAGTACAAACCATGTGACATGCGTTCACATAGACCCACACACATATACATCTGATAAAGTGTTCCACATTACATTAAGTCTTCTTATTAAATACTATATAATATAAAATCAACAGATAATGCACCTTTACAGTAGATTATTTTACTCCTGGTTTTAAGTTAGGATCAGTCAATGATTGGAATCAATAAATAACATTTCATATACTCTGAAACTGGAATGTACATTTTTCTAAGTGCTTGACTTCTGTTGCATTGTTCTTCCAAAAAAGGCATCTTTTTTTTCTACTAAAGTCCCATTTAGGGACCCCATGGGGTCACATTTTTGGCTGGCTGCTACCTGTTGCAGCCTTCTCCAGTGGTGAAGCAGCAGGACTTTGGGTCACGACTGCAGCCCCAACAACCACTCGACCTCCAGCAGGAGTGTCAGACTTTCCTGCTGTGCCTCCCTGTTTCTCCTCCGCTGACTTAGTCTGCTGGTCTTTGCTCTTGGCCCCCTCCTGGGAGCCAAGCTTGATTGGCCCGAGGACGTTTTTGGCCACGGTGGTCAGCTGGCTGACGAAGCTCGTCTTTTCGCCGGGGGAGACAGGCCGCGACTTACAGAGTGAAGGTCCACAGAGGGAGGGGGTGACAGCAGTCGGGGAGGGAGAGGGGGAAGGCGAATGTTCCTCCACCACCTCAAGGCGACATTTGTCCTCCCAGTCAAGGGTTCCCCGGTAGCAGTTGACAGACCCAAGTCCTTGCCTCACCTTGCCCAGCGAGAGCGACTGCCCATGTGGGGGCACGACGGGAGCAAGAATGCGAGCTGGAAGTTTGGGGCTTTTGGAGCCGAGGTCTGGAGTCCTTGAGTCACTGCTCTCTGCTCCAGCCTTCCTCAGGCTGTCCCCCATACCTGATGGTTTAAAGGTTTTATTAATGCTCAGAGGACCTGCTGTCACTGTCGCATTGATTCCGATGGATTTATCAGGAGTAGAAGCAGAGCTCTTGGTGAAGGCAGCCCCAGGTAAACCAGGCCTACTCTTGTTGTTTCCTTCCTGCTTTGGTTCAGTTCTGCCCCCTAGCTGCTCCCGGGGGTCTTTACTATTAGATAACATACCTTTGGGTGCCTTGTGGTCTTCCTGTTTCGGAGTTAAGTCTGCCGGACTCTTTTCAGGCCCCTTCTGGCCAATTAGACTTCCTGTTGTTTTTGTGGGGGTGCTAGGAGTTGTAGCTTTAGTGGTTTCTGAACTTAGTCTTGAGCTTGGGCCAGCTTGCGAGCTCAAGGGCAGCTCACCTGTATGAGGTTTTCTTGTTAAGGATGACTGGGATACTGTTGCTCCAACCCGACTCAATCTCTCCAGGACTGCCGTGGTATCAGCCTCCCTGTCTTTCTCTCTCTCCCTTCCTCTTTCCCTCTCTTCCCTCTCCCTACCCGCCAGCAGTGTTTCTCTGCTAAGTGGTGACTCTTGTCTCCCTAGTCTCCTCACAGGCTTCAGGACACCGGTCTCTGGGGTGGTTGAGGATGAGGGCAGGGGTGGAGGATTAGGAGGCAAATTTTCACCTTCTGTCTCCAGCAGGCTCTGGAGCCCGAGCTCACAGAGGAAGGCATCTTTACGGTACTCAGAGTGCTGCACCTCCAGGCTGTGCTTCCTCAGCGGACCCCCCAGTCCTCCGGTAGAGCTAGACTGGGTCAGAGGCGAGCCCAGCTTCTCTGCTGACTGCACCCGTTTGAGAAGAGGCGATCGAGGGGGTTCTGCACTCTTGGGCCTGGGACGGACCACTGGCGGCGAGGAGTGGAGCTTGGCAGGGAAGGACTGGGTGGTGTTGGAGCTCCCCACTGTGTGTCCTGGCAAGGGTGGTGGTGAAGACTGGGTAGGGGAGGGTGTGTGGGCCAGCGGGGACAGGGGGATGTTACCAGCAGATTTACAACGGGCAGAGCGATACTGACGGTGGAGTTTAGGGGAGAGGCCGTGCAGGGAGCTGGGCCTCATGTGCTGAGATGGAGCAGGGGAGTTTGGAGTGCTGGAGGCTGGAGAGCTGCTCTGGGAGGAAGCTCCTAAACGAACACACACAGCAGAAAAGATCAATTAAGATATAAAGAATCCCTGATGGAAAAGGCACACTTTAGATTTAAAAGTAAAGTGAATATTGGCTTTTAAGGCTAGTACCATTTCTGGCCTTAAAAGCTCACTATCCAGGCCATACGCCCTGTTTTGGAACTAAATTTGGATCTCCCAGTTCTCTCTTCTAAAAATATATCTAGTTGTTACTGTACACTCTTTAAAAAGGAAAATATTTCTAATGTGAACTGATCTCAAACCTTTTTTTTTTTTTTTAACTCTTGTGCATGTGTTGCGTATGTGCATTGTTTATTTCCAGTGTCCTACCCAGGTATGAGGGCTCAGGGGTGGAGCGGTAGCCTTGAGTCGGGGACCGGGCAGACAAGCTGTGAGTTGGGGAGCCAGGGAGACTCTCACTGGAGGACAGAGAGCGATTCAAAGAGGACAAGCTTCGGCTGGTGTGCAGCAGATTGGACTGCTTCGTGATCTTACGGAACAATGAGTTACGCTTCTTACTGCAGGATAGACAGAAAAAGAAGAGACAGGATGTAAAAGTAAGATTTAACACACACAGATATAATATACATTCATCTGTTTATCAACTTGACATTACATTTTTACCATTTTCAAAAGCACACCAATAATTTTGATTTTAATAATTTTACGCATTGTTTTTTGCATGTTATGTTTTGTCCAGTTACAATGACAATCAAATAATCCATCACAGTGAACTATTTGAAAGAATTTTTATTTTATTTTTTTGTCAAAGTTTTGAAAACTTGTCTTGTTGTTGCATTCAAGGTCGCGGAAACATCTGATATTTCAGAGTCAACTACCAAAAAGCATGAAATTCATTAGCTGTGCAGTTGGAGAATCAGATCCAGCAGCATTAAAAGTTTGGTGTGCCCAGTCTCAAGTGTCAAATGTTTATTTGCAACATACTGATAACAACAACTGATAACCGAAAAAAGATTTACCTTGAAAAGGAAAGGATTGGAAACTGATGTTTGGAATACATCAAAGTAACCTTAAAACTATGATATCCTCAATAAATGGTCAACAGCAATGTAAAGTAATCAGTATTTGTAATAAATGGGCTGAAATGTGCAAAACCACTGCCTCTCGTATCACCAGATAAACACAGAAAAAGTTGCATTGCATGTAAGAGAAAACCGACAAACTCCTTTACTATTGTATTGTACTTACTTACTAGTTCATGAGACAAGACATCATGTAAGACATCAGTAACACTGCAGTGGTGTAGGTTTGTAAGATCCTACCTGTCTTGGCTGTCCTTGCCCATGGTCCTCTTGTTTCGTCTGGCCATCTTACACTTGTAGCTGGCCTTGCGTGCGGGACCCACTTTAATGGAGGTGTTCTCAAAAGGCGTGGTTGTCACTGTCACCTTGTTTCCACTCTGCACAGATCAATGACATTAAATGATTTCTACACTAATGCTTACAATTATCCAGTCACCTACAATAAACTGACCAACAAAACCAACTTTATTTACAGGATTAATGAGCAAATTTAATGTGTATTTGAAATAATTAAAGTGTAACTAAACTACATGGGAGCTGCAAGCACTTCATGAATGGAACATGAATGGCCTTCTCTTAAAACAACTTATAAATAGACAACTAAGTGGACTAAGAAATAGAAAACACAGACATATTGGTATTACCAATATACAGCAAAATTGAGAATGAATAAACCTACTGCTGCCTACCTTGAGGATAAGCTCTACCACTTCAGTGTGGACCAGGCCATGGACAGGCTCCCCGTTGACGTGGGTGATGAGGTCACCGGCACACAGGCCAGCTTCCTGGGCGGGGCCACCATCCTCCACGTGCTGCCAATGCATCAATTCATCAATCATCAACTCCTCAACAGTTTCAGATATTGCTGAAATTTCATCTTCTTTTGCACTTTCTTTAATTCATTGGTCCCTGTTTAATGCCTGGACTTTAAAATACACACTCAAAAGTCACAGCACAAGCTTTAGTTCCAGCTCCATTGCAAAACATCTCCAAATAGGTACATATGACTACAGGTTTCTTACCCAAACAATGTGATGCACGCTGTAGATATCACTGTCTCCAATGTAGACCCTGATAGCCCTTAGAGTAAAGCCGTACTTCTTTCCAGAGCGATGGATGGTGATAGGAGAGCGCAGCACGCTGACTGCCGGGCAGAAGTCTCTGCTGGGTGAAGAGTCGCGGGACGAGGGGTTGGAGGAGATAGAGTGGGGAGACATGGGACTGGCCAGCGGAGAGAAGCCGCCATGCTGCTCCACTGGAGGCACGCAGGGAGTAAGGTAAGAAATTAGTTACTTTATTGATATACCACAAATTTCATTCTATTCTTTCCTTGTGCCTCTCACCTGATGGTATTATGACAGACAGGGCTGTGGCAGAGGCTGACTTGATGACTTTGTTTCCAGGTCTGGAATTGCGTTTCTCTCCATCAGACAACTGCTGATGCCGCGCCCTGCGGAGGACAAGGTCATTGGTGGCCCGGGGTCCCAGAGGGTCATACAGAGGAGTCATCATGTCACGACCGGTTGCTGCAGGACCTGGGGATAATGTGGTGATGGCCGTGGCAACTCCCGGTGTCTCTCCATGTCTAGGGGATTTGTCTGTGAGGATATAGTCGGGTGGAAATGATAGTTATTTAAGTTTAAAGCAGCATTTAGAGGAGGAAATAGCAGGGTTAAGAACTGTCCAGCTGCCCACTCAGTTAGCAGCAGCCATCTAATAAGGTATCACAGGTTGCCTTTTCACCTCCTCCGCTGTCAAACCACTGCTTTCTGTCTGATTTATTCTGTATCACTTTCCCTATTGCCCTCTCATATATTCCCTCCTCTTTCCTCTCTACCCTCACAACCTCACTACCTCAGACAGTTCCCCCTCCTAACACACCTGCTCCGTTGATCTCCTTCAGACTGTTCCGTTGCTCCAGGAGGCTTGGTGAGGGGACGCTGGTCCCATCCAGGGAGGTTCCACGGACCTTGATGGGCACCTGGCGGGACAGGAAGTCTGGCTCACCATCTAGGGGTGAGGCAAAACGATGTGTATCCATCAGTGCTGAGAAGCGTCGGCGAGCACCAAGGGGAGGGCTGGCATCCCCCTCCATGTAGAGGGACTCTGAACAAGACAGGCGCTTCCTGCAAGAGGAGGACACAGAAACAACCACATAAGATAACGCAAACGTTTTAGTAAGAATCCATTATCCAACAAGAATCTGCGGCCATGCTAGTGGCTCAGTTAGGCATGTCAGTATGCAAACACGTTCACAGAGACAATGTTAACACGCTGATGATGTACAAGTTTAATGCTTACCATGTTCACCATCTTAGCATGTTAAAATGTTAACACTAAACACAAAAACAGCCGAGTGTCACTGGTTTTGAAGGTATTTAATCATAAACCAAAGTATTGGACAAGTTAAATTTTGACCTGATGTCGCTACATGAGTCAGAGGATCACCAGTGATTACATGACATGTGTATCAAATTTCATGGCAATGCATCCAATAGCTGTCAAGAAATTTCACTTTTCACACATATTTGAACGGCATGTTGGTAGAAGAAATCAGGATAATAGAAAAGTAAACAGGGTTTATCCTCTGGGGATCATGAATGTCTTTGCATAATGGCTCGGCAATCCATCTGATAGATGTTGAGAGATTTCAATCAAAAGACCAAAGTGGTGGACAGACCACCTGACATTGCCATCATTAGAGCCCTGCTGCTAGCATAGAAATTACATGAAAATACAGTCTGATGACGTGATGAACTGCTGTTTTTGTTCCATTAACACTATTTCTTTAAAGGTAACCTGTGGAGGTTCTGACCTCTAGTAGTGCAATAGAGCAGTTTTTCTAAGAGTGGGTCTCTGTTTGTATGTGTATGTGCAAGCATTCCTACCATCAACTGATCAACAGGTGGAGGTAATGTGCAGAACATGATGCAATATGCTGGCAAAGGCAGGATAGAAGAAGACTGCTTGCTAGTAAACATGGGTGTAAGAAAAAAGAGAAAATTTTAAGGAAATCGGCTTTGCAAATGTTTGAGGGGGGAAATATATTATATATATAATATATATAACACATTTGTCAGACCTCAAGGACACACTCAATGCATTTTGGTGAGTAACAATGAATGTAAACAAAACCTTTGTTTGTTTACAAGAAAACTCCACAGGGCACCTTTATTTAAATAAATTAATGAATGTAATGAGCTGCAGCTAAAAAGTAATTTTTGCTGCGAGATACTGATAATTCATACTAGATATGGAAGAGGGAAAATCCAATATGTAAAGTAATACATGAAGAGCCACCCTCACCGTATCAAATTTTCTAACCATTATGAATGCAGAATGTATGAATGACTGATTTATTTTACATATGAATGTGGAGGGATTGGAATTCAGACATATGCTTCCTAAAGACTGAGGTGAAATGGAGTTATGGGAAGTAATAGAAATCTGTTTCAGTAATATCTGATATCTCTCTATCAGAAATGTGTCAGTTAATAACATGTAGTCTGGACCCAGCAGGTTGTAGTCTTTGTAAGCTGCCTCAAAGCATGACAAGCATAGTAACAGAGCAAGATTATGTTTAATGAATCTAGATCCCAGGATGATGAATACATTTTTAATTTAGTTGGGCTAAAACCCAAAAGCATTCATTCAAGTTAATGAGAGGTCTCCTCATGTCTGCTAATAACTCTAAGTTAACAACTTCCCTATTGAGTGTACAAATAGCATTAAACCACCTGTATTCAATAGTCCTAAAAGTACCAGTAATGATCCTTTTGTGTATGGATTTGCATTGTTTATCAACAAATCATGAAAACTGACCCATCAGAGACATATTGGTTGGTTACACATAGTTATATATATTTGGTAATATATGAATCAATTCCACTTTTGCTAGTTTCCAAACTTTGGAGAGGTGGGATCTGCTCCCTGTTGTTGAGTCAAAGTGAGTGTGAACTCTCACAAAGAAGTTATTTTTGCACAAGAAGTGTCGGAATTGGCGTCAGTGAGATAGAAAGCAGTTATTCAGGGACACTGAGGTATGTGACAGCTGCTGAAAGAGGAAACACCTTCAGGAAAACACATTCTGAACACCCTCAGTTCTATCTCACTCAAGTATGCAGAACACCCCACCGCACTTACATACAAAATTCACAAACATGCCTCTGGAAACCAATAATTCACTAATGCCCTCTACTCACATCTCCGGGGACCCGGTCCTCCAGCTCTTGTCTCTCATACTGAAGCTGCCCAGGCTCTCTCTCTTGGTCACCTTGTCCTCCCGCGGGCCCTTGTGCTCCCGACGGGACACAGAGCTCGTAGCTTTCTGCTCCAGCTGAGACAGATGCTCCATGCTGCTGTACACCTGCAGGGGGACACAGTCAGATCAATAATCATTTGGTCTGTTAGCAGTTATTAAAAGCTCCTGGAAAATACAGCTAGTGGGTGGAGGTAACAGCTATATATTTGTTTGCTGTAATTTATATATTTGTTATGAATCAGGCTCACAGTTGTATAGTATACGGCATTTGTGCAGTATTGATATGTGGATTTTCCTCAGATCAATTCAAATATATCTTCCTTTTAGAGCAAGGTCGCATAAGCATAAACAACCTGGTGAGCCTAATTTTTAAAAGACTATGTCTCACCAGTGGGGGGTGCCATATTCCTTAAAGGGGACTGATTTTAAGCTAAGATAAAATAAGTAATAAGTAAAATAATAATGAAGGACTAAATTACAAGACAAAAGTGACAGTGGTGTTATAAATAGCGACAAAGTCATGAACCTAGTATATGTAAACAGTGTACACCAGCCTATATCTAATGTGATTAAGTAATGATACTTAGTCTTTGTCTGTATCCATATAAATATAGAATAGAAATAGAAATACAGTATAGTATATATTGTAATAAGATATAGTAGTATAGTATAATATATTAGCATAATATAGTAACATATAATATAGTATAGGATATAAGAGGTGAAATGTAGTGTATATAATATAATATAGTTTATAGTACAGTGCAGCAATAAAACATAGGACAGGGGTTCCCAAATCTCAAATAATTAATTATCAAAATAGTT